GAAAAGTTGTATCCAATGCATATAACTAAATTGGGTTAAAATGGGGGAAGGCCGACATGATATTAAACTTCAGATGTAGTCAGTCTTTAGCACTGCTCTTCAGCACCATGTCTCAATCCTGCTGCACTTCTCTCTTGTGATCTAAATAAAATGGAACATAGGAAATAGATTAACTATCTTTAAACATGCTTTTTACTAAACAATCAACTATTTGTATAACTGGGCTTTCCATAGTATGGCACTACCTTCTTAAGACTTTTAGAGATTTTCAAGCTATATATTAGCTTAAGTGGTTCTGTAGTTTAGGTATCTTTGTTAGTTAAGACTACTATGTATACTTCTGTTCATTGATTTATTGTCAAAAAATTTCATTTGCTATAAAACTGAAGTACTGTGGGTTATTGTTTCTGAATGTATACAGTAGAAGACTGAAGGCTATTCCTGATAATTTGAGTTTGTGGATTACTTGGACACAATATATTTGCTGATTCTTTTCCAATATTTTACAATATTTGAATACTCAGGACAGTAAGTTTTGTCAGATTGATCCTGTCACAGTACTCTTGTCATTTTCAGTTCTAGAGACAGTTTTCCCCTTTATAACATATAATTATAGTGCCACTACTTAGTTTGTTAAAAATTTTTTTGAGTGTTGATAATAATGATAAATGATGTTAGTGATTGAGTTTTTTCATGAGCTGGGAAACTGATTCTACACCTACTCTGAATCAAAGATTCATTTTTGTTAATATAAATTGATGTATAACTATCTAATGAGAGAAAAACAGCATGATACCTACTTCTGAGCTTGTTATGAATAAATATTTTAGAAGAAAAGACATATCTTGAAGGAAAATGAGATTCCTTCAAAATCTGATGGATTGACAAACTCAAAATTTCATTTTTATTTTGGAATAAATATTCTGACATGCATAACAGAAAGTAAAATAAAAATTTCTAAATTAATGGCTTGACTTAATGCAATCATATATTAACTGAGTTACTGTGTGTCAGGCATTGTTCTAGGTATTTGGAATATATCAGTTAAGAAAATAGACAGTAAATCCTTGTCTTTGGAGAGTTAACCTTGGGATAAGGGTGGGGAAGAAGATAGATCTGAACAATTATAATAGTATATAAATAAGTCATATAATATTTTAAAAGGCAATGAGTAATATTGAAAAAGAAAAATTGTAGAGCAGGGTAAAGGAGGATTTAATTGGGACTGCTGGATTTGAGGATTCAGGATGTAGAATTAATTAGAATAGTTAGGATAGGGCTTCATGAGAAGGTACAATTTAAGCAATTAAAGGATGTGAAATAGCCAAAGAAATTTGGAAGGAAGAATAATCTAGGCAGGGGGAAGGCTTCATGGAAGGTATATGACTGATGTTTTCAAAGAACGGCAGTATAGGTGGAGGAGAGGAATGGGAGTGGGGGCCAGTAGTAGAACATGGAGTCAGAGAAATAAAGGCTAAATCAGGTGCAGGAAGGAGCAGTAGTAGGGTGACAAGACTACATAGCTGTCTACATCAAGAGAAAGAGGGATTTTTTGCAGAGTCATATAATCTGAGCTATAAAAGGATCACTAGAACAATCCGTGAATTCTTATATATCTTCTTAAAAACATACTGCTTACATAATTTTATGTTTGAGTTTTCAGATATATTATCTGTCATATCATTTATTAGAGCATAAAGTCTCTATGGTAGGAACTCATTTTCTTCTTTATTTGCAGTTTTCTAAATTTAATAATGCATCATGCTTATAGTGTTTAATAAATGTAGTTAACTAATAGTGATTCAGAATAAGAAGAGTGCTGTAAAATCTCTTTCAAGCTTGCAATAGATTATCACCTTGGAGGATGTTTATTCTTTAATCTATTAATTTTAAAAACGTTTTTCATGGGCTGGGCGCAGTGGCACATGCCTGTAATCCCAGCAATTTAGGAGGCTGAGGTAGGAGGATCATGAGTTCAAAGCCAGCCTCAGCAAAAGTGAGGAGCTAAGCAACTCAGTGAGACCCTGTCTCTAAATAAAATACAAAAATAGGGATGGGGATGCGGTTCAGTAGTCAAGTGACCCTGAGTTCAATCCCTAGTACCAAAAAGAAAAAAACTTTTTCAGGGGATGATTTAAAGAATTATTTAAATTCTTCCTGAGGAGCCAGTATGCTGATAATTCAGTTATAATTATCAGAAACAAAGGGTTTCATTTCAGGGTTAGGTGACCAGAAATAAGACATTATCTAATGAAGCACAATCAACAATCAATAATTAGTGAAATTTGAAATATTAAAGAAGTAAAAATAAAGTAGCCTCGTCAAAGTGTACTGTGGAAAAGATAAACTAGAAGCAAAGTTCTGATAGACTTAATCTCTGTATATTTGCATCTCTTCCATCATATTTAACTTTCAAGTTATAAGCCTTATGTAATCTCTTATTTCCCTATAGGGACTTCATAAGTTCTTTGTAAAACAGAGTGGGAGTGGAGACTCTAATAAAAACTGTTAATTTCTTTCTTAAGAAAACAGAAATGTGAAAGCCTCATTATTAAATGCTGTTGGAGTCAATATCAGTTTAACTGAAGTTTAAAATCAAATCAGATGTAACCTGTTTTTAAATTTCTGAAATATTTGACTCCTTAATGTTATTCAAAGCAGCAAAATTTAGAAGTATTTTCAAAGAATTCCCATATTTCAACTATATACAGTCCAAAGCCTTTGATGATGTAAGTATCTTATAATTATTTACTTATCTTCCTCTTCTCGCCAGGTTATATGCTCTCTAAGGAGAGAGACTAGATCACATTTTGGTTCCCAGTGCCACATTCAGTGACTAGTACATTATAGAAGCTCAGAAAATGTTTGTTAGATACATATATACAATTCTCACAGGTAGATTAATTTCTATTTGTTAGATTTATGAGAATTTCTCTAGAAGATAAAGGAATGATTTTCTTCTATGTCTAGTACATCACTTTGACAAATAAAAGAGATTAAATATTAATAGTATTATTTTTTTGATGGTGGAGGTTCTGGAGCAAGGATACAGTTTTAATAATTGAATGTTTGTATTATTATTCCTTAGAGTCTTCGTAAGACATATTTTCTAACAAGTTGAGGATGTGTGTGAAAAATTTGATATTACATAATTGATTAAATTTTATTTTTTAGCTTCTTTATACAGATAGAAATTTTGTAATTTGTGCTCCAACTGGTTCTGGAAAAACTGTAATGTTCGAACTAGCTATAACAAGATTGTTAATGGAAGTACCATTGCCATGGTTAAACATTAAAATTGTTTACAGTAAGTATATATTGTAAGAATAGTGATTAATTATAATAAAAGCTCAGTAAAGCAAAAATGAAGTAAATTCAGCTCAGTCATAGGCATTATTATTTGGTTTCCCATACATTTTTAAAGAAACTGATTTTATTTATTTATTTGTGTTGCTGGCGGTCAAACCCAGGGCTTTATGTATGCCAGGCAAGCGTTCTATCACTGAGCTATGCTCCCAGCTCTAATAAATTCTCCTTCTGGTTTTTTTTTTTTTTTTTTTGGTGGTGCTGGGTATTGAACCCGAAGTCTTGTACTGCTAAACAAACACTACCATTGACCTATACATCCAGCTCTCATATATTTTTAATAGATATATTACAATTGGTTTTGTCTGTTCCATTAAACTCAAAACACATTTTCTCAGAGTTATAAATAAAAAGTAATATTTGAATTGAGGATTATAACTTCACATGCTTGTTTTTTAAAGGTCAGTTAAAATGAACAAAATAAACATTTATAATTCTAGAAATTTACATAGACGCCTCTGCTCTCCTGTTCTGGGTGTGTATTTTTTAAAATTTCCTCAAAGTAGTATATATACATGGTTTAAAAACCCAAATATTACAAAAAGCCTTATAATGAAAAGCACTAATGTTCTGCACTCAGCCCCGCCCCCACCTCTCTCTCCGCTCTTAGCTATAAGTTCCTGAGTAATTATTTCTATTTATCTTTCGTTCTTTTTGGTGATTACCTTTTTATCTCTAAATGATATGCCTAAATTACTAACTTTTAATTTGTCAATATTAGTACCTAGATGTATACTTTTTCCTAATTTTCTTAACTAAAATTTGCGAAAATAATTTTAAAATTGCATTTATATTAAAAAAATGTATCATTATAGTGGCACCAATAAAAGCCCTATGTAGTCAGCGTTTTGATGACTGGAAAGAAAAATTTGGACCAATTGGATTGAATTGTAAAGAACTCACTGGAGATACAGTTATAGATGACCTATTTGAGATTCAGCATGCCCATATTATTATGACAACTCCAGTAGGTATTATTTATCCTTTATTATTTCCTTGGTTTATTAGAAAAAAATCTGTTTCTTTTCATAAGAAGTTCAAAGAAATACAAAGTAGAAGCATATATTTGCAAAGTAAAAAAGTAATAGTATTCAAGGTACAAAAAAAATTACCTACAAAAACATAAGTAAAAGACAAATGGCCAATAGGAAAAATGGACAAAGAATATCCAATTTGTTATTGTTGATAATTTATAATCATATTTATTCCTCTTATTTTTTTGCCCAAGTATTATGTATTATAGAGGGAGTACCTTGGTAGAGTTTAAAAGTATATAATCAGACAGTGAATTTAAATGTTGTGTGGTTAAATTTAGTAATAGAATTGAAGGCCTAGTTTTAAAACACTGACCAAACTATCAAAATTCAAATTTTTAATCTTTAAATCTTTTTCAGAATACTTTTAATGTATCAATCAAACCTTTACCTGTCATTTGTATTATGTCATGGTAAAATTTTTGTTGATGTCCTAAACAGTACTTATTATAATTCCTTATTACACTAAACTACTTGCACTTTTTCTGTAGGAGAAATGGGATAGCTTGACTAGGAAATGGAGAGACAACTCTTTGGTTCAACTGGTGCGACTATTTCTCATTGATGAGGTAGTGAACACATTATTCACTTTCAGAGATAGCATAAAAAGATGTTTAGAAAGAAGAAAACTTCAATGTTTGTTTAATTGCTTCTAGGAGAAATTGCTGGAAAGTGCCCATTTTCTCAAAGAAAAATGTTAATTTCATTGTACATTTTAATTTTTTAAATAGATTGTAGTTTTACAGCTAATGATTCTTTCTTGATTTCTTGTATAGGTACATATTGTAAAAGATGAATATCGTGGTCCAACTCTTGAAGTTGTAGTCAGCAGAATGAAAACTGTACAGTCTTTATCTCAGCCTTTAGAAAATACTAGCACTTTTATCCCAATGAGATTTGTAGCTGTGTCTGCAACAATTCCAAATGCTGAGGATGTAAGTTAGAATTTCAATATACCATCAGGGTTTTTGTTTTATGACTGGTGAAATGTTTAGTTATTTTGATCTTAGAGAACAGTGAGGGTTTTTGTTTTTTTTAACCAGTCACTTAATAAAGTATGTTGTAGAAATTTATGGTTAGATTTCTCAGATATAAAAATTTGGTCGTTCAAGTTTAATATTTTTAATAGACGGCTGTTTTAGCTAGTATCTAAAAGTCTTAATTTTATGGATTTCATCCACCTGTCATAACTTGACTAATAACATGGTCATTATAGCCAGCTGTCTCTAATTGTATAGAAAAGTATAGTAGACATAAAAATAATTGCTGAGATGATTATCACTCTCCCCCCCCAATTCTATATGCCTAGCATTGCAGTAAGCCAAAATGATTGATGCAAAAGTGAGAACATATGGAACTTGTCCTTGAGGAGGATCTCATGGTTAATGGTAGAAGGACATGGAAAGAAATAGTTACATGGAATATTATACTTCATATAATGAATATACAACTTAATTTGTGTGTGGAGGAGTACTAGAGCTTGAACTCCCGGGGCTCTACCACTGAACTACATTTTGACATGCTGAAATTTGTGTATCCTTTTAAAATTTACTATTTGAGACAGGATCTCCATAGGTTGCTGAGGCTGTCCTTGAATTTGTAGTTCTATTACTTCAGCCCCCTGAATGGCTGGGATTACAGGTGTGTACCACTGTGTCCAGCCTTTTTCTTTCATTTTTAGGCAAACTTCTTGAGAAATGATACAGTTTCACTCTATTTTATTACTCCTGTTTACTTGTCAGCCTACTATAATGTATCTTTTTTTCTCCAACACTTCTTAGAAAAAATACCTCCTGTATTTGCTCTTCCAATGGAAAATTTTGTCTTTATTCTTAAATTTACACAGTTAATAATTTTCTTATTCATGAAATGAAAACTTGTTTTGTTCATATTCAAGAATAATATATAAAAATTTAAAGTTTATAAAAACAATAAAACTAATACCCAGACTTTGTCCTTTCAAATGTTTACATGTGCATCAGTCTGTTTTCCATTGTTACAACAAAATACCTGAGGCTTGGTAATATGTTTTTTAAGGAGGTTTATTTAGTTTACAGTTTTGGAGTCTGAAAGTCCAAGATTGGGTGACCTCATCTGTTCATCCTGGTGAGGGCCCTACTGGCTACCTCATAACATGGTGGACAGTATCATGGCAGGAGTATACCTGACAGGGAAAGATCCCATGCAATCCAGAGAGATTCTAGAGTCAGACTCACTCTTTTTTTAACAATGCACTCTCATGAGAACTTGCTTACTTTGGAAGATCAGCATTAATTCCTTCCAAGAACATTGTCCCCAGTAACCTAACCACCTTTTACTAGGTCCCACCTCTTAAAAAGATTCCATCACCTCAGTACTATTACTACACTGGGGAACAGGCATTCCAACAAGGAAATTTTGAGACACACTCTCTAACCATATTCAGACTATAGTAACATGAAATTATAATATTATAGTTTTTTGATCTACATTTTCATTTTACCTACAAATATTTCCATGTTATTAGTCTTTACTACTGTTTTGTGTTGGGGGTATAATTTATTTATCTAACATCATAATAATGGAAGATTAAATTATTTCCATTTTTCTATTATAAACAATCCTGCAATTTGAAAACATCCATAATTATTTTTAGGATGATTTCTAGAGTTAAATAATTGAGTCAAAGGATACAGAACTTTTAAGGATACACTGCCTTCCATGTTACATTCATTTATTTTAGCTGCCATTTCTCTGAATCCTGCCAGCTGTCATTTTCCTATATCCTAACAGTGTGTAATATAATAATAAAATTGTTATTTTTATTTAATTTTGAATATTAAATATTTCTCAAATTTATTATTTAATATATCTTATTTTTTTATCTTTGATTTTTACTGTAGTAAATATTTAAAATATATTTATCAACAACTTTTAAACTTTTGTTTTTTGTTACTTGCCAGGTCATGCCCTTTATCCTTTTTTCACACTGGGAAACTTTTACTTATTGATTTGTAAGCAATAATTATATAAATATAAATACCCTCCAATTCTTAAAACTTTCTTCTATTTTGTGGTAGTTACCAATTCTGATTGCTATTTCTCTGTCCCTTTCTTCTGGTCCTCTTCCTCAATTTCCCTATATGTTAAAGTCTTTATCCTTGATCCTCTGCTCCTCTCAGAATGTAAATTCTTGTGTGATCTTATTCCTACTCATGATAACCTTGAGAATATTTCAGTATTCCTTCCTGTGCAACAAGAAACTTTCTCCTGTCAAAGCAGTGGTCAATTTCATAGCAGGGCATGGAGCCTGATTACTAACCAGATTAAGCAAAGATAAGGATAGCTTGACACAGCTCTGTAAACTAACTACTGATTCTTGCATTAAGCCTGAAATATGCTTTTGGCTCTGCTTTCTCTCAAGTGTTTATGTTTTGATTAAAAATTATCCACTCTTGCCAAAGCAATTTTAATTTTACTTTAGACTCTCATGAAGGAAAATAAAATAACTAATTAGAAAATTACCTGCCAGGCGCAGTGGCGCATGCCTATAATCCCAGTGGCTCCGGAGGCTGAGGCAGGAGTATCCAGAGTTCAATGCCAGCCTCAGCAAAATCAAGGAGTTAAGCAACTCTGTAAGACCCTGTCTCTAAATAAAATACAAAATAGGGCTTGGGACATGACTCAGTAGTTGAGTGCCTCTGAGTTCAATCCCTGGTTACCCCCCACCAAAAAAAACAAAACAAAACAAAACAGAAATACTGCTATTAGCAATATTTACCAATAGCATTTACCAGTTTATCAACAGAGTAATATCAATGGAATATGTAATACTGAAAAAGACTATCTGATTCAGTAATTTTATACCTTGACTTTAAAGTAATCTAAAATTGGGGGTTTTAGGCCATAAAAATTGACTAGAAAAAATGCTTAATGTACATTTTTTTGTTTTTTCAAGATTGCAGAATGGATTTCAGATGGTGAAAGACCTGCTGTATGTCTGAAAATGGATGAAAGCCATAGACCTGTGAAACTTCGGAAAGTGGTTCTGGGATTTCCCTGCAGTAGTAACCAAACTGAATTTAAGTTTGATTTAACCCTCAACTACAAAATTGCCAGTGTTATACAAACATACTCTGATCAGAAGCCCACACTTGTGGTATGGATTGTTGGTCGATTATCTTTTAGTGTAATGTTCGCTTTTAACATGATTAATATAGAAATTATTAATGTATTTTCAGTTCTGTGCAACTAGGAAAGGTGTGCAACAGGCTGCTTCTGTTCTTGTGAAAGATGCTAAATTTATTATGACTATGGAACAGAAACAAAGGTAAATTTTTTTGGTTTTTTTTTCCTTGGAAGTAGAAGGACTTTTAGGATCACTTAGATGAAATGAGAAAAGTTGGTTTATCCCTTACCTTGATCAAGTTACTTGACAAAGCCTCAGGTTTCTCATCTGTATCATAAGAATAATAGTAATTTTGAGGATTGAGATAACAACTCTTTAGTGTAGATGTGATTGTATCTTTCTTTCATAACTGAATTTCTTGAAATATAAAGTTATCAATATTGCTGTCTTCATTTTTTCAAATCCACTTTGAATCCAGTATCTTTTGTTATCTTTCACTAAAAACCTTGCCAAGTAATTTCTCATGAATCTCTAACATATTTGATCATGTCTACCTTATTTTAACACACTGGATTCTGCTCTTCCATGATCATCTTCTACCAGTTTTCTTCCTGCTTTACAGGCCACTGATTCTCAATCAATTCAATTCTCAGTCAATTCAATCACTGTACCTCTTAACATTCCTGCGTTAACATAGGATCTTTGGGGGGACATCTTATATCTAAATCATAATACTACCCAATTCTTAAATTTTGACATTGTAGAGGGGTCTGCCTGAGGCTCATTCTTTTCCCCCAATCTTTATCATTTATTATTTTTATTTGGACAGCATATATACATAAGTAAAATATCTACTGGTAGAATCCTCTTTGATAATTTCATTTGATTTAGAAAAATGGGATAGCAAAATAACTTAGGTCATTAATACTGTACAAAAATAAAACTGGTTAAACAATTGTAGAAATCAACATTTTACAGTGTTACATACATTCATCTGTTTGGAAAGAACATCTTTTTCTACCCAAAATGATGAGTACTATGCCAAATCTGTCTGCAAACCAGCAAAGCTAATTTGTTTCTGCAGTTATAACTACCAGATATGATTCTCAAAAGATGCATGATATGGAGCTTAAAACTCCATATCATATCAGTTTCCCATCAAAAATCTTTATAATAGCTCTGTCTTGTTATTAATATAAAATCCTAAATCCTTAATATAGTTTGCAGTACTCTATATAATGTGATGCCTAACTATTTTTCAGACTCATCTTGACCATGTTTTTTTCTATACTCATATCAAGCCATATAAGACTCTCTATTCTGTGAATATATTAAACTGCTATAGCCAGGGCTGTCAGGCATCATGTTTTCTTTTCTTGGTATTGTTTTACCTAACTCCTGCTTATTCTTTAGGTCATATCATTAACATCAGTTTTCTATAATCTTCAATTTCCCTTTATTCACTTTTATAAGTACCCTGTACTTTTTTCATAGCACTTATTATAATTGTAATAAATATCCTTTTATTCAATTGTTATTAAAACATTTGTTTAACTTAGATTATAACCTTCTTGAGGAAAGGGGGACTTTATGTTCATTTTATTTACCCCTGAATCTTGGCAGGTCTTAGTGGAGTACTAGCACTTGATTACTACTTAATGAATATTAGCTTCTTATTATTATTTATTTTATTTTTTAGAGAAAGATAGAGAAGTTTTTAATATTTATTTTTTAGTTTTTGGCGGAACAACATCTTTGTTTGTATGTGGTGCTGAGGATCCAACCCGGGCTGTACGCATGCCAGGCGAGCATGCTACCGCTTGAGCCACACCCCCAGCCCCAAGCTTCTTATTATTAATTTTGGCTTTTGGGTCAGATCAGCTTCCAAATTACCAGTCTGTCCCTTTGCCACTACATTCCATCCTTTCTATTTTTCCCTAATTCCTGCACAGATTATTAATTTTGTTTCAGGTAATCATTTTCTTAAACAGAAGCATATGCAGTATCTAAATTCCTTTATCATTTTCCACTTTTGCCTAGCTACTCAAGGAAAATTTCTCTTTCAACTCTTGTTTTTCTTCATTCTTTGTCCCTCATTTTTTTTTCTTTATTTATCTCTTTTTAAATTCTTGTGGGGGTTTTTTTGTCAATAAAATACTGGTATTAGAACTAGCATGAAGGTAGAAATGCAGATTTGAATAACAGTACCATTTTTTCTAGTTGTTAGAAATTAGGCATATTACTTCCTAGATTCAATTTATTCCTTCTTTCATTTTTTTTCTTTCTTCTTCTTGTTTTTTTTTTCCTATTGGTGCTGTGAATCAAACCCAGGGCCTCACTTTATGCTAGGCAAATGCACTACCACCAATCTAAATCCTCAGCCTATCAGCTTCAATTTCTTAATTAAGTTTCAACATATGGGAATCAATTTTCTTATCATTTTTCTCTGATAATTAAATTAAGCAACATTTCTGTAATACCTGTGTATTATAGAAAAAATAGTTTAGGTTTAATAGTATATTGCCCTTTCCACTTGACTTCTCTTCATTCCATTGTGAATTCTTTTGAAAAAATCACAAGTATTATAAAATAATGTTTCTTACTTTCATGTCTGCAACAAGGAAATGGAAAAACACCAGTTTGGGAGATCTTAGACATGTTCAAGAATCAAGCCTACCAACCTCCAGAATCTTTGAAAGTACAAGAATTGCTTTTTAAATTATTAAGAAACTTTATTAACTTCTGTTTTAATGTTTTCTTGGTTTTCTTTACATGACATATCTCAGAGCACAATAAAAAACAATTTTTTTATTTTAGTCTTTTTGGTTTACTTATTGGTAATATAGCAGAATTTTATTTTATTTTATTTTTTAAAGAGAGAGTGAGATAGGAGAGAGAGTGAGAGAAGATGGGAGAGAGAGAGAGAGAGAGAGAGAGAGAGAATTTTTAATATTTATTTTTTAGTTCTCGGCGGACACAACATCTTTGTTGGTATGTGGTGCTGAGGATCGAACCCGGGCCGCACGCATGCCAGGCGAGCGCGCTACCGCTTGAGCCACAACCCCAGCCCAATATAGCAGAATTTTAAAACTTGTTATTTTTTACAAATATATTTTAGGCAAATTATGAATATAGACTTTCATATTCTGATCCATGAACATAATATTTATAATGTTCCCCCCCTGTGGGTTTGAAAGGGAACTGTAGTGTTTTAGCTAATAAATCAGGGACTTCTAAATATGAATGTTATATAGTCTATTCTGTTTAAAGACAGTTTTCAGATAATATTATGAAAACTCTTTTTTATATTTGTAAGTTTCAAAATAATTAAGAAACTTTTAGAATTTTCTGATGTTAATAGGAATAACTCAATAATTTTATGATATTTTAAAATAGGTTACAGAAGTATGCATATTCCACAAGAGATTCAAAACTGAGAGGTAGGTTTAGAGATAATTTTTGAATAACATTTTCAAATATAGATAAAATGAGTCAATTGATGAAATATTAACGGTAACTGACAGGTGTCATATTTTTATTATAGATATCCTAATACATGGTGTTGCTTATCATCATGCTGGCATGGAGCTGTCAGATAGAAAAGTAGTTGAAAGAGCTTTTACTACTGGAGATCTACCAGTTCTTTGTAAGTAGAATGTGTTTCTTACCCATATTATAAATTATTTTGAAAAATTATTTTTAAGAGAAAAAGGTAAAATCTTAAATATTATGATTTGTTTCTGCTTTTCTTTTAAGAAGCTAAAATTATGTAACTACCTATGTTTGTGCATGCTATGGTAAATTCTTAGCAATGTTTTTAGTTTTTTATCATGTTATTGAATGAAGTACAATTTGAGAAGTAAAAGCTTAAATGAGTTTTTGGTTTTAGCATGTGTTATTAGTTTAGATTAAAATTTTATTATTTTCTTCCTCTTTGAAATTTTTTTGTGAATGAGTCTTATTGCATTTATAGCGATGTCTTTTATAAGAAAATGTCTTCCTGGAGTGAAAAAATTGTAAGGCTTGAGATTAATAATCCTTAATCTGATGCAGTTACTACCAGTACTTTAGCTATGGGAGTAAACTTGCCTGCTCACCTAGTAGTTATAAAATCTACAATGCATTATACTGGAGGGATGTTTGAAGAATACAGTGAAACAGATATTCTACAAATGATCGGTAGAGCTGGTCGTCCTCAAGTAAGTAACAGTAATTTTACTTTTCATAACCTGTATTAGAGACATGGCAAAATAAAAACTGTTTTGTGTATTTTTTAGTAGCTTTTCATAATTAAAGTTGAAAGTTATGTAACTCAGAAAATCTACTTTGATGAAGGAATAGAATTAAAACAACCCTCACTAACTGGGATATATCAGACCTCTCCTCAAACTCCCACAGTCTCTCAATTTCCATTGGTTAATGAAGGGATGGAATTATGAATGAATATACTATTGAAGGATTTTTGGTTTTGAGTTTTGGGGGTTCTGTTTTGTTTTATTCTGAATCTAGGGATGTTTTTAGCATTTGGGATGAGTAAGTTTTTCATTGTATAGGGTTGTCATGTGCATTATAGAACATTCCTGGGTTCTAACACTAAATTCCAGTAGTGTCCCCAGGCATTGTAACAATTAAAAGTCAGCTTATATACATTTCAGAACTTATCCTATTCTGACAAATACTTGATTGAAGAAGTCATTCATATAGGTTACTAAGGCAACATTCAGGAAGAATATCTTTTCAAAGAATGTCAAAATATTAAGTTATACATATTTATAATTATGTAGGATAAATTAGATTATGTGTAAACTACATCAAATCTTAAAACTTTTACCTAGCTGGGCACGGTGGC